GTTCTTTGGCCTAGGATCATCTTGGCCCCTTGGCCCCCTTTGTTTTGTTGACACATTCCCATGTACATCTGTTTAAGATTTAACTCTTTACATGTTCACATACTCAAGTCAACTTTCAGAAATTTTAAGTTAGAAGACAAGATTAATCCACTGAATCTTAGTTTCCTCGTATCATCAGAGAACTCTTTTCTGAGTATAAAGCATTGTGTTGCAGTAAGCTGTTATGGACATTTCACAGAATTTCAGAAGATTCTCTGGATGTGTTTTCACACCATTCTAGCTGACATGAAGAGCTACAGTACAAGGTGGACATGTTCTCTCTACAGCGTCCTCTGGTTTTCACTGATGAGCTTTTTTCTAGATCCCGTACCATGTGCATAGTGGCAACCAATCCAGAGAATGCAGCGATAATAAAACCAAGAGAAGATAAAAAGCAAATTGCATGTTATCAAACAAGAGAATGATTTGGGGAAGCTACGCAGTGAAGAGGATCTATTTGTTGGAAAGAAAAAGGGGCCTACAAGTGTTTTGATGTGGGAGCAGAAAAATTTGCCTGAAGAGCTGTACTGTCTCAGTGTAACCCTGTCCTGTGTAACTCTGGATAACAGAATTTTCTGAGAGCTGCTTCAGATTTCTGAGGAACACAGACTTAGTTTTTGTTTTGTTGTTTGTTGGTTGTGGTTTTTGTGTTGGTTGTGTTTTTTGGTTGTTTTTTTCTTCACATAACACCTTGTTAAACGATGGAGCCCCTTGTCAGAAGTTGATGCCAGAAATTATGGGGGTTGAAAATGGTTCAGGAGCAGTTAAGACAATTACATACCTATGGAAACCTATTGAACACAAGGAAGAAGTTCTGTATTACGAAGTCCATAGGCTGCAAGTAACTGAAATGATATATTAGGTGAAGTATCAGCATATAGTTTCTCCTTTTTATCAAGCTACTTCTGAACATCCTCTACTAGTTGCTGTAGGAAAGAGAACTAGAAAGGTCTGAGTATAACTGTTTCTACATTTTGATTTCCAAGGTCATTTCACCTAGAGGACAAACCAAATGAGATATGTGTATCAGCTCCAGTTTATCTGGTTTTGCAGTTAAAGGTTATCTTTGAAGTTTACAATGTCTTATTATAGGCAAGCTATAAGTTTTTTTAAGGTTTCATTTGATTAAGTAATGTCATTAATGTGTAACACTTTCTCAGTTACATCCATTTCAGTAAAATCAGTTCAGAAAGTGACTTGCATTGTGTTTTGTTTGTTCTTTCAGATCCGATTCACTGCATTGCATTTATTCTCTCTTGAGTATTGACATCAAAATACAAATAAAACACTGATTCTATGGCCTTTAGGGATGATTGTTGGATAGACACACTATCCATAGCTGATAATAAAGGTTCTGCCTTCCTGACAGTTTGTCTTGTTCTCAGACTCCAAATATTAACTCTTTTTTTCCCAGATACTCTTTTTTGTCTGCATGTAAATCTGAGTCTTTTAAAACTTGAGTCAAGTGATTGAGTTCTGGCCCTGCAGGATTTGGGTCATCCCTTGGGACTGGTGCTGATGCTGAGTGCTAGGACTCATTAATAGGGTTGTGAGGTTATAAAAGTAATGAAATCTGAACAGGAGCTTTGCTTACATGAAGGCCAGTCAAATAGTCAATGTCATGCCATGTATCGCAGACAGTGATAAAGCTTCTTGCAAACAGAAGTTCTCCTTTTTCTTCCATAACTTGCTGCCAAAGTTTTGCTCAGGGTTATTGTAGGCAAATGGCATTAATGCTGTAGGGTGGCACCCAGGACCTGCAGCTCTGAAGGGTCAGCACCTTTAGATCTTCAAGGGAACCACCGCTACTAAGTTCGGGATGGAATGAGTGACAGTCTGTCATCACAACTGCAGAGTGTTTCTGCTGCTTTGCCAGGCAAACTTTGCTCACTTTTATGTGTAAAAAGGAAAGACTAATTTAATATAAAATTACACCAGTTCCATCAGCTGTGTGAGTGACTACAGAAGGTGAGAGACAAGCATGAAGGCCAGTGGATTTTAGCTTGACATGACAATGTAGATGATGAGTTACCCAGTTACCCAATTACCCAGTTACACAATCAGAAATTGTTATGTAGTATAAAAATGTATGGAGGAGTTTAATTAACACTCCAAAATTTAGACATGGAGGTCTATACATATATATGTTTATATACACAATGATTGATAAGTTAATATTTCTACTAAGATGCGATGGCTGTTTTTATAATTTACATGTTGATGTTTATATTGTAGATACTTATTTAAAATTGCTTTCCTGTATACCAAGCTTTTTACACAATTGTGTTCAGACTTACTTTGTAGAAGTGAACTATTAGAATGTGGTTTTTACTAAAATTACCAGCTCTTTAAGCCCTTTTATAGTAGACTCAGTATTCTAGAAATCCATGTAACCTGAAAGATTGGATACCCTTTAATGTACAGCAAAAACCAAAGAAACTGTGTTGTACTGGAGACGTGTGCAGTCAGACTCATCTGGGTTATTGCCATTGAGATTGCTCTAAGTGATATCCCAGAGATACCAACATCCTGTGCAGTGCATCTGTCCAAACCATGATATGGATGGAAAGCAGCATTACAGACAGAAAACGTGGCAAAATAGAACCAGCTGCCTTATTATAACCATGCAACCTCAAACCAGTTTAAAATATGGAATGAAATCTGTGCTGCTTGAAAAAAGGAGGACGCACACAGAGCCCAGTGGCCCTTTTGTAGGACTCAGCTGGAAGGCAAAATCCTGAAGAGCAAAGGCTGTGTTTTATCCAGTAACTGCTGAACTCAAAGTACAAGAGTAGAGCAGGAGTGTTTCTTCATAGGAGAGGGTATTAGCCACAGAGTGCTTGTGGCCCTGTGAAGCCCCATGCATTCTTTGCTGTGTAGTCGTGCTGCTGAGTTCTCAGGGGATAGAAGAGGGAATCCAGAGAGGGGAGCAGCAGTTGGAAGTCAGATGTCTGAAACACAGAATATGAGGCAATATTTAATGTGCAAGCCAGTGCTAAACATTCAATTTGCTAGATTTAGTTAGTTTCACATTTCAAGAGTGACTTTTATGCACTTTTTTTTAGGCACACACTGCACACTTTGCTGGGTCGGAAGCCTAAGACAGGGGTCTGAAACACTCAGTGTTCAGGCTTTTATACACCCTGACAGCTATCTTGCACTCATATGAGAAACAACTTGTTTTGTTTTGCATCTTGGTGGTTAACTCTGCAGCCACCCTTGAGATACTTGTGTTGCATATGCAGACTGGAGGTTTGTGCATCTGATCACAGAGAATTCTGAAGGGTTTGCAGAACCCCATGACAAAACACAGCCGTGTGCAGCTATGCTCACTTAGTCAAGCTGTCAAAGGGTACTTCAAGTGGCCCATAGCTGTGTGGCACTAGTGTAGGCTGTGGTGGTTGGAGCATGCCATGCCTGTAGCTTCTGCTTTGAGTCAGGAGCATAGACCCAGCCATTTCCTAGCACGCATTTTTGTGGGTACCTGCTTACACTTCACTCAATGCTATTCCCACCTGGAATATCAAAATAAAAAGAGTATATATGGATGAAATAGCTCTTCCTTAGAAGTCTTGCCGTGTACATGCTGTAGAAACATTCCATAGCTGGCATTTGCAAAACTCCTAAATGAAAAAAGCCTTCTAGGTTGTTTTTTTTAAAACATTCCTCCTGGCTACAATATCAAACATAAAATTGGTGGGTTTACAAAATCATTGGTTAGTTATAGACAGCGCTGCTCTTCATGGTTACCTTCTATCACCCAAAGTGAAATCCATATGAAGGCCCATTTGAAAAAGAAAAAATTACTTGGATTGTAGTAACAGTTGCTTTGAGCTGCCACATGTGTAGATCCTGTGATCCAACCCGTATTTTTGTTCTTTTTCACTCATGGTGAAATCTGCTCTGAAATAGCAGTGGGATTGAAATGCAGTTGCAACTGTGTGTGTTTATTGTCTCCTGCTGCTGGTGGTCAGTTTGTCTGAAGACTGGCCATGTTCATGATAGTATTATGAGCATACGGTGTTAAAGTTACAGGCTTGTGTTCAGGTATGTTCAAAAACCTGGCATAATACAAAGCCATCACAGAATTCACTGAAGAAAGTTGAAGCCAAACTTTGGTATATCACAGTTGCTGTGGTTTAAAACATGTACATGCCATGATTCACAATAAATTAGCTGATGGGTGATAATTGATTAAATTACCTCAGTTTCACTGTGGCTGATGGTGTACCAACCCTAAGGTTTTTATCAGGCACATTAAACGTTTACCCTTGGAGTGGGATCTCTGCCAATAAATTCCTGAAGAATCAGAATTAGTTTAGGTAAGTACCTGCTCTTTCTTTTGCTAGAAATGCTTTGCATTTTCACGGTAATCGTTCTTCACATCTAGACATTGCATATATATTGATATAGGTGTATGTCATGTATGTCAGATTGAGTTTATTTGTATATAATCCAGTGGATTATCTCACCAATTACTGGATTATTTAATCTTTCTTAAAGGTGGAAATCTCTTTAGATATAGGGACAGCATGCCCTTTCACTGGGAGCTTTTACTTGCTTTCTCCTGCTTCAGTGACAAAAGACTTCCTTAGCATGACCAAGAAGTTCCCCAAAAGCACTGCTGTTATTCATATTTCTTAAATCATGAAGTATGAGACCTAAAGCTTTGATCCTGCGCAGTGGAAGCATATGCTCTGCAATTCAGGGAGACAAAGCAAACTATAAGTATTTGTCTCAGTTCAGAATAAATTTCACAATTTCACATCTGGGAACCCAATTGTTCAGTTACTTTTTGTCATACATAATTAAGATTTGTATATGTAAAGACTTCAGTATGTATGCTTAAGGTGGCTGTTTCTCAAAGATGAGAATTGCAGTGTGATCCTTCTAGTTCTACTTTTTTAGTAGTTCTGAACAGAATAGTAAGTAACAGAAAATAAAATTGTCTCTTGTTGCAGCCTTTATCCTCATCTCTACTCAAGAGCATACATTAACTTTAGAAATCCTGAGGACATCCTTCTTTTTAGAGATCGCTTTGATGGCTATGTCTTCATTGATAATAAAGGTTGGACTATTTGTAAGATATTAAGTGTGTATATACATATACCATTTTAGAACATTCATTTACTTTTTTTTTTGCTAGTTATGTCTTTTTTCCTCAATATACAGCTAATCACCTAAAATATATATTAAAATCTAGTACTTAAAAGATGGTGACGTGCAAAATACATTTGCCATGCAGCCTTGCTTTTCTGTGTGGTGTGCATGCTTTATCTGCATTCTTGTACCTTAAGCAATATGCTATCAAGATCCTTATGTGAACTTCAGAATACATCACAACCGAAACTGAACACAATGCAAGCATGAATCATTGCACCTGCAGTGTATTTCTGTGGGATAAAGTTGTGCCACTTAGTCCCATTTTGAAAAGTCAAGACGAAAACTTGACTTCATCATTTTGGTTGCCCAGTTTGAGATACGTACAGCTTGACAGTTTAGAGCATTTGCAGGGATCTAGACTGTGGATTTCCGAGTACAAGAGCAACGAAATTGGTTGCCATCTTTAAAACGTTCAGACTGGAAGGGTTTGCCCAATAGTAAGGAAAAACTCTGTAATGTAGGTATGGATAAATCCAGGTCTCCTACAGGAGCATGAAACTGCCATAGCCAAGAAATGGCATTATCCCTTTAGCAGTTCCTTGCCTCCTTCACATATACCTCCTGTAAATAAATGCATGGGTTGTAGAAACAGAAGTAGGCATGTGGGTTTCTTCTGTAGACATTGTCTACTCTGTACACACAGTGTGTGATTCCCAGATTTCAAATTCTGGGTGTTTTAGATAAAAAAATGGAAACTGTTTTTATGGTTCTGCCAAGACTTCACTTTTCCTATATTATGCACATTCTTCAGTGTTACGCTGGACTGAATCCAGGGTATTCTGAACATTGCAAAACTGAGCATGGACACAGCTGGCCGATTTGGCATGATTGATTGTGCAAATAAAGAGCACAGGTTTTGATTAAATGTGCCCTCTGGTGAGGCTTCTGCCAGCATTGCATTTATGAGGGTAAAATTAAAACAAGGATTACCAGGTTCAATAAGCTTAACAAATGTTCTGACAGATTTAAGCCTAGTTTTCAGTGGGCTTGAGTAAAGTGTAATCTTGAGCCTGCTGCAGGTGGAAACGAGGCAAAATTCAAAAGCTACACACTGTTCTGACTCCAGTGTGAAGAAGAATCCAGTGTTTAAGGCAGAATTCAAAACAGAATGCATGCAGTAAACACAGGCAAGAAGTTGCATAGTCCATCATAAACAGAAAAAAACTAAATTTCAGACTATTTTACATGCTGAGTTTTACAGTTACAGTTCTGAAAGAAGGTGGTTGCACCCAGCATTTATTTAGTTATTAAGCTTTTTGGCAACAAAACTTTACAGAAGCAACTCAATATTTCAGATTCATTTCCCAGTAGTACTTGCCACTTGTCAGGCTGAGATTTTATGTAAGTTTTTCTAATCAGTGAAGAATTGAAAAGGAATTCTAAAAGGTAATGCAAGAATTTTATTGTGCAGCAGTAGTCATCTTCATTTTGACAGTGTTTGTTAGCATGTCCAAAACTATTCAGTGTTGCTATATATAATTAAAACACAAATGTATTTTGTTTTGAATCTAAAATCAGAAGTTTGGATGGGATTATAGAAACATTACCCTTTGATTTCAAGTTAGACTGCCCAACACAAGTTTCAAGACTTTTGACAATCTTACTTGAATATGGGGAAAGTGTCTGCCTCTCACAAAAGGTCTCTTTTAAGGTTTGGAGTATCCTGCAGTGGTTGAATTTGCTCCATTCCAGAAGGTTTCAAAAAAGAAGCTGAAGAAAAAAGATGCCAAAGCTGGGAGCATCGAAGACGGTAAACGTATTTTCTTGGCATTCCAGTAGAAAGTGGATTCCATTTCTGTCATGCATGGCAAAGTATTAATCCAGAGTTTTTTCTTCACAGATCCAGAATATAGGAAATTTTTAGAGAGTTATTGTGCTGATGAAGAGAAAATCTGTGCCAATCCTGAGATTCTTTTGGGAGAGATTGAGGCCAAAACAAGGGAACTCATTGGTCTGTTTTCTTGATTTTTCTTACTATTGAGAATATTAAGTATCTTCTTTTTATATCTTTATTCTATTACCTGCAAGAGCTGACCTGTTCAGTCTAACAGATTGGAAATATCACAGTTAAATTTTTGTTATCCAGCCAAGCTGTGGCAGGAAACACCCCACCTATTCTTTTAAGTCTATTCACAAAATCATTTGACTTCACTGGAAGTTTTGCATGCACAGTAGCTTCAGAAATAGGTCCTTAATAATTCTGCATGTTTTCAGGTGCATTAAAAGATGGAAGATTTATTTTTAAAAGCTAAAATAGCTGATTATTTAACAATTGATACTTGGTACTAGCTGCTTTTATTGAGAAACATGGAAAGAGCTCTCTGTTCTCATGGTCGAGATTCTGCAAAAGCTTTGAAAGTAAGGCAACACCTTGTTTTCTGTATGCATGCAGCATGAGTTTCACAGTCTTGGGGGGGAATCTTTAGTAAGACCAACACTGAAATCTTCAGCACTAGTACCCAGCTTTCAGGATGACATGGAATAGTGATGTGCTGTATCTCTTAAGTGACAACATGCAGAATGCTTCTCTT